AGATATTGTTTTAGCCTATGGTCATATTATATCCTGTGACAAGGTCCAGAATTATCTCCTTATGTTAGAATATATAAAAAAATAATTTATGACATATATCGATGCTTAACCCCCCAATTGATGGATCTAGATCATAGTCATATCAAACATATAATTGAAACAGCATATACCATATATCAAACTTTTGAACGGATCTTTACATAACATTTTATAAAAACAAATAACATTTTCTATGTTTGATTTTGCAAAGGGATTTCATAATATTTTGAATCATAAAATAATTTGTACTTATTTCAAACAATATTTGTAAAATAGATATAATGGTTGCAAACATACATAATATATTTTTAATACTTTTGAATAACAAAGAATTTCATAGATCAATAAAAAATCACACAAGTCAATAACATATATCGTTACCTGAAAACTAGTTAGAGGAAGTCGTTCGAATTCTTCATCTTTTCCTAAATCGTATGAGAAATACAAATTAATATCACATATAAAATATTAGAATCTAATGTATGATGCATGCATAATCTAATTAATATATTAATAAAAAAAATTCATCTATTTCTTATTCTCCTTCTGTTATCTTTCCCCACTTTACTGTTTACTTGCTCTTAATCTTGCATAGCACTATACCACCTTCGGCAACAGAGACCTTTCTTTTTTATTTTTCTAATTTTCTTCTCTCTTCTTCTCTCTTTCCCCGTCCTCACGCTTCATGAACAAAATAAAATATAGGGATTCGATAATTTATCTAGATCAATCCTTGCGATTGTGATTTTGATCTCCTAATCTTTTCTAACGCACAATCCCTCTAGGGTTTAGTTCCTCTTCTTAGGCAGGATGGAGATGGCTCTTGAGAGGATATTAATAGATTAGCTACATGATAAACCATAGAGTTTTTTCCTTATACAAAAAATGTTCTTCTATTTAGATTTTAATTTTTTTTTATAAATATATGTTTCACAAATCTTATAATTATATATAGATCCTTAAATAGAAAATAAGATATTACAATTAGTCCTAGCTATCATTGTGTCGTCGTCTTTTTATTTCTCTTGCTTATATTCATCGGAGCTGCCTTGAGATTCCATATGAGAGAAGCAGACAGTACCTGATGTTTCGTGAGAATTTGTGTAGGTTATTAAATGAAGGCTGAGGGATGATTGGTTTCTGATGTGTACCTGCCCACCATGACTGCTCTGCTACGGAGGCATGACAGAGGGCCGGCCGATGAGTAGGAATTCATTCGCAGATTTGAATGTGTTGTGTGCTTTAGTGATTTCGTTTCGTAATCAATAGCTCATGCATCCATTAAATATTATCAAATGAAATCTCCTACACCATTTCCACGAATCAGAGCAATGAGCTTCCTATTCTCACGGCTTAGCATATGGGATTGCTATGCTGCTTAAAGTAATATTTAAAGCAATAGGAGGGAGGAATAGCGTTCGTATGATGCAATGCAATGCAGTGGTTGTCTGATTCAGTGGCTCGAGACTACGCTGCTATTGGAAACTACCAACTCCCTGTTTACTACAATTATAAAATGATCATGTCGTCAAAGAGAAAACAATAAGGGAAAAGAATATGCATTATTAGCTCGTTTCATCGTTCCACATTAGAGATGAAGAGGAGCGTGACAGAGTTAGCGTCTCGAGCAATGGAATCTTTCTTCTCCCAGAAATCTCTCCCCGGCCTTCTTCTCTTGCTTGTCTTCTCAGTTTATCCGAAGCCGGCATCGACTTCGCTTGCATCGCAAGGTCGAGTGCTCCTCCAATGGAAAGCCAGCCTCCGAGGCCAACAATCACTTCGATCTTGGAACCTCAGCACCAGCCCATGCAGCTGGAGCGGCATAACCTGCAGCCTCCGGCGTCACAGGGTGATCACCGACGTTAATCTGCCGAGCATGGGTTTGGATGGGCCACTCCACACTCTCAACTTCTCCGCCTTGCCATCACTGACCGGCCTCAATCTCACGTTCAACAGGCTCAGCGGGCAGATCCCTCCCACCATCGCCACTCTCTCTGAGCTCATCTCCTTTGATGTCCAAGGAAACGACATCACGGGGACGAACCCAGCCAGGATCAGTTCTCTCACAAAGCTGAGATCCTTAAATCTCAGTGGAAATCAGATTAGTGGCTCCATCCCTCTTTCGTTAGGCAACATGACCAGCCTCGACTTCCTCATCCTGTCTGACTCAGTGTGTCGTCCGACGGTGCAGCACGTATCCATTGAGTTGTGTGCCATCAAGTAATTGGCTGCAAATGTTTGTTCATAGCTAATATAGCGACGTGTATATACAATCACAAAGAACTGGAAGCAGAGCAACTCAATGCTCTGCTCATCGATCACAACGTTGGATTCACCAAACACCGATCTCTCCGCATGTTTTCTTTTTTTCTTTTGTAAATAGAGATTCAACTGAAAGAATTTGAATATATGAAAGGACATTACAACAGCGTGCATAACACGGCATAGGACTCGCCACTTAATTTCTACTACACCAACCGTTGAATGTAAGGTGATGGTGCTCTCCCATAGACTTTCTCTGATTGAAGAGTTTACTGAGATTGATTATGACTTGGAATACTCATCTGCTTGTTCAAGCACCACAATGAAACCAAGGAACATTTGTATTCTGGCCCAACGCCACATTGTAATTATGGCATTTCCGATGTCTAAAGGTGGTTTTATGAGGTGTTTGAGACAACTTGATGAGGTCGAAGCCTGATGTAAAAGTAGAGTGACCCAATGGTCTCGATATCCCAAAGCTATATATGTAGAGCTTAAGTATTGAGGTGGAACTCCCTAAGATAGTACTGAAGTGCTATGGAAGTATTTGCTAGAGAATGTGAGCTCGAAATAGAGTGGTTTTGGTTATGTTATATCTCCGTGATAAAGTTTAGAATCATATTATCTCATTGTATCGTAGCTTAGATAAAACTAATTTCTAATAGATACCAATGTTTAATCTCTGTCCAGATCATAGTCAAACAGGAACACCCAAAGGGTGTCCTGTCTCTATATCTCTCGTTTACCATAACCCTGAAACTCAATGTGTATTTATACAAATAAATTTTAATTCACAAAGATTTTCAATTTAATTAGAACTCCTCAAATTAATTTAAATATAAATATAATTTTTTGAAATACTTATCAATCCTAATAAATCAGAAATTGTAATCTTTGAAGTTGTGATGAGACTTTATAGTAAAGTTCTTGAGATCCAGAATTTTGGACGTCTTGATCATAAAAAAAATAGCCTTAAAATATCATTTGTACTGATGCTTTATTTTTAACTTAGGCTTCTCATATCAAAGCTAGCTAGCTTAATTGTGACAAATCAATGTGGGTGTATCAGATGGCTCATGCAAAGTCACCGAACAAAAGTTAGGTGACATTTGTTTTTGTTTCCCTACAGCTTGCTTATTTGACTAGGGTGGATGAGATTCGCAATGTGTGCTCCAACGCAAATCATATTCCATGGTTCTGATTCCGACAAGATGATATGGATATATCTACAACATTATCTAATAATTTGATCATAAAACAAATATGGGTTTGATTGAAATCTCATTCGTTACTACTCATATTTGGACAAAATTAATATAATCTAAAAATAATATATCTTTATTATAATTTAGACATTGCTTATGAATCCTTATCTTCTTCTCACAATTCATTGAGCAACCTTTTTAAAAAATTCATCCAAGTTGATATGGTTGAGTTGACTTAACCTGGGAGGTATAAGCATGTGATATATATATATATATATATATATATATATATATATATATATATCGTCTCGGAGACCTCTCCGGAGACTTGTGACATTGCTGTATAATTCGTTTAATAAGAGTACTGAAAAAGTAATTTGCATGCCAAAGTGAAAAAATGGTAGCAGAAAAAATGTCTAAGCGGCATGCATACCACTGGATGTCATGATCATCAAAATGGAATTTTGAGTCATAGTGGTGGAATTCTGGTGACGGACGCATGCAGTGAGAGAATTGGTCAATAATATTGAGATGCACTCATTGATGTGTATCCCCTAATAGATACCTTCTCTCTTTGCTCAAGGACCATGTTACAGAAAAACACATTTGCCTTCTTGTCTTGCTGATCCATAGGGCTGATGGGGTGACATATAGTGATCGATAGGGCTGACGTGGAATAATCTTCTCTCACGACCTGAGATCCACCGCACATTGATCTTCTCTCCATCTGTATTTTTCTATTTTAGTGGACAGTACAATACCATGCATAGTACAATACCATGCAATTTCTAACACGGCCACAGATCCACCGCACATTGATCTTCTCTCCATCTGTATTTTTTCTATTTTAGTGGACAGTACAATACCATGCATTACACGGCCACGGCATAGTAGTCATCACATCATCTCCCGTCCCCTAGACCTCTCCGTGGACTTGTAGCATTGCTGTATGATTCGTTTAATAAGAGAACAAAAAACGTAATTTTCATGCCAATGACAAAAACAATGGTTGCAGAGGAAAAGTCTAAGCGGCATGCATACTGCTGGATGTCATGATCATCAGAATGAAATTTTGACTAATAGTTGTGGAATTCTGGTGACCGAAGCAAGCATGCAGTGAGAGAATTGGGCCAATAATATTGATCTGTATCACCTATAAATACCTTATCTCTTTGCTCAACTACCATGTAACATATAAAACATATTTGCCTTCTTGTCTTGCTGTATTCTGCACTTATGGCATCTCAGCTTCACAAAACTTTGCTTTGTGCCACTTTGCTGCTGTTTCTCTTGCTTCCCCGTGCTCCTCTTGTTAAAGCTTCACTCGGATCCCAAGGGAGGGCGTTGCTCCACTGGAAAGCCACTCTTAGGAGTCCTCAATCCCTGAGATCTTGGAACCTCAATTCTAGTCCATGCAATTGGACCGGAGTTGCATGCAATTACCCCGTCACAGGTAGAAGCCGTTCGGCGATCACCGAGATACACTTGCCGAAGATGGGCTTGGCAGGGCCACTTGACTCTCTTGACTTCTCGGCGTTGGGATCGCTCCACCATCTTAATCTCTCATACAACCAGTTCGGTGGGGTAATTCCTCCGACCATCTCGACTCTCTCCAGGCTCGTATCTCTTGATCTCACTAGCAATCAGTTCATAGGCAAAATCCCAGTTGAGATGGGCTCCATGAAAGATATCCAGTTCTTGAGTCTTAGCCAAAATCAAATAATTGGTGCTATTCCTCCATCTCTGGGCAACCTCACCGACCTTGTGTACTTGTACCTCCACGATAATAAGCTTGCGGGTGTCATTCCTAAGGAGTTAGGGAGGCTTCACGAGTTGATGGATCTGGATATTGGGGCCAATAGACTATTTGGTTCGATCCCTTCTATTTTAGGAAATTTGACAAAGCTCTACCTCTTGGATCTTTACCAAAACCAATTGACTGGAGTCATCCTTCAAGAATTGGGAAATCTAGTTAATCTCACCTACTTATCAATCTCCGATAATAATCTAACAGGCGGAGTTTTATCTTCTTTCCGAAACCAAACCAAGCTACAATTATTTTTGCTATCGAAAAATCAACTCTCAGGTTCTATCCCTTTTGAGATTGGAAACCTCGTTGAGGTTACGTATCTCGACTTCTCAGAAAATCTATTAACAAATTCAATTCCTTCCTCTATAGGAAACATGACCAGATTAAAGATCCTTTACCTTTGGGGTAATCAATTATCTGATTTTATTCCTCTTGAGATTGGAAATCTACTTGATGTTACTGATCTCGAACTCTCAATAAACCTTTTAACAGGTCCCATTCCTTCTTCTATAGGAAACATGATCAAATTAGAGATTCTTTACCTTTGGGGTAATCAATTGTCTGGTTTTATCCCTTCCTCTATAGGAAACATGACCAGATTAAAGATCCTTGATCTTTCGAATAATCAATTGTCTGAAATTATTCCTTTTGAGATTGAGAATCTAATTGAAGTTACTCATCTCTCACTCTCGATAAACTTTTTGATTGGTCTCATCCCTTCCTCTATAGGAAACATGACCAAATTAAAAGTTCTTTATCTTTCGAAGAATCAATTGTTTGGTTTTATTCCTTTTGAGATTGGGAATCTAATTGAACTTACTGATCTCCAACTCTCAACAAATCTTTTGACTGGTACCATCCCTTACTTTATACAAAATATAACCAAATTAAAAAGTCTTTACCTTTGGGATAATCAATTATCTAGAATTATTCCTCTTGAGATTGGAAATTTAATTGAAATTACTGATCTCCAACTCTCAATAAACCTTTTGACCGGCCATATCCCTCCATCTATAGGAAATCTAACCAAACTCAGAGATCTAGGTGTATTCTATAATCAGTTGTCAGGACCTTTACCGATGGAGATCAACAACATTACTGGACTGACACACCTACTGCTGTCAAATAATAGCTTTGTTGGTTATTTACCCCCGGACATATGTAAAGGTGGAGCCCTACAATACCTCGTTCTTTACATGAACAACTTCCAAGGTCCCATTCCCACTACCTTGAAAAACTGTACGACACTAGAAAGGGTTCGTCTTGAGCATAACTAGCTCACTGGAGATGTATCCCAATATCTTGGAGTCTATCCCCATCTTTATTACATGGATTTGAGCTTCAATCTATTCTCCGGTACACTCTCACCAGACTGGGCAAAATGGCACAATCTGACGCTCTTCAGAATCTCAAATAACAACATCACCGGAGTCATACCCACCGAGTTTGGGCAGTTGACGAAACTGGGAGAGCTGGACCTCTCTTCCAACTACCTACAAGGAGAGATCCCAAAGAGCTTCGCCAGCTTAACCCTTCTCTACAGTCTGAGCTTGGGCAACAACCAACTCGTCGGCCATGCGCCTCCGGAGATTGGAATGCTGTCCAATCTTGAACTGCTTGATCTCTCATCCAACAACTTGGCAGGAAGAATCCCAGATCAATTAGGCAACTGCATGAAACTCCGATCGTTGAAGCTTAACAACAACAACTTTAGTGGAACCATTCCTTTGGCCATTGGTAATCTGGTGTACCTCCAAGACACCTTTGACATCAGCCAGAACTCACTAACAGGGGAGATTCCATCCCAACTCGGCAAGTTGGTGATGCTGCAAAGCCTGAATCTATCGCATAATTCCTTCTCGGGTCATCTTCCATCTTCGTTAACGTATATGACGAGCTTGTCTACCGTAGATGTATCCTACAATGAACTGGACGGCCCTGTTCCTGATAGCCCAGCTTTCCGAAGAGCCCCGGCAGAGTGGTTTGCCCATAACAATGATCTGTGTGGAGTTGTTCGAGGATTGCCTCCGTGTGTTTCACTCGGTTCTCCAACAAAAGATGACCGAAGCAAGCGCCACAAAGTGGTTGTAATAGCCATCATTGCTTCCGTCGTCTTCTTCCTTCTCTTGTTTATTTTCATTGCAGCTGCTTTACGATTGAACAAGAGAAAGAGGCCGCCAGTACCTGTCGATGATAATCACATCAAAGAAGTTGCATTCTCTATATTGAATTTTGATGGAAGAGACGTATACAAGGACATCATCGAAGCCACCGAAGATTTCGATGGCAAATACTGTCTCGGAAGTGGTTCATATGGCAGAGTCTACAGAGCAGAGTTGGCAAGTGGGGAGCTGCTAGCGGTGAAGAAGATTCACCTACCAGACACTGAAGGTACATGCGACGAGCAACCCTTTCAAACTGAGATACAAACTCTTACTCAAATTCGACATCGCAATATCGTCAAGCTTTACGGGTTCTGCTCCTCTCCTCGACACAAATTTCTGGTGTTCGAGTACATGGAGAGAGGAAGTCTGGTATCTGTCCTCCGAAGCGAGACGGGAGCTGAATTGGACTGGGTGAAGAGGGTGAGCATCGTGAAGGATGTCGCCTGTGCTTTATCCTACATGCATCATGACTGCACACCACCCATCGTTCATCGGGATATCACAAGCAACAACATTCTACTTGATTCAGAATTCAAGGCTTGTGTTTCCGACTTTGG